GCGGAGCAGAGCAGCTGGGGGGCTGCCAGGCGCCGAGCAGGGTGGTGAGGGGCAGTGCTGCGGGACCAACCTGGCAGCACCCAAGCTGCTCTGCTCTGTGCCACTTCCTCATGGCTGCCGCTGCTGAAACTGATGAGGCAGACTTGGGGAAGCAGTGGAGCAGAGCAGATGGGGTGCTGCTGGGTTGGTCCCGCAGTGCCGCCTCTCAGCCCCCTGCTCGGCACCCGGCAGCACCCCAGCTGCTCTACTCTGCAGCTTCCCCAGGTCCGCCATTCGTCAGTTTCAGCAGCAGCAGCGGTGGACTTGGGGAAGCGGCGCGGAGCAGAGCAGCTGGGGTGCTGCTGGATTGGTCCCGCAGCGCTGTGCCTCACCCCCCTGCTTGGCAATAACTACTGCAGTCTGGGAGATGGGGAACCCGCTCCTCTCCTGGAAACTCTTGGCGGTGGCATGGGGCTTCCCCTGCCTTCCTGCAAAACGGCGGAGGGTTTGCCCCTCGCCGCGCTGTTCCCCGCCCACCCCCTGGACACAGTGCGGGTCCCGGCAGACCCGTCACAGCCCCCCGCCAGAGTACCTCCCTATACTCTGGCATATCTGATCATCTGGTACCACCTAGGTCCCAAAGGTGCCAGATTATTGGAAGTCTACTGTACTTCCTCATAGGGGTTCTCCCCTCCTGCATTTTAAAAGATTTTTCTCTAAGCACAACAGCGTCTGTACAGGCCAGAGCACTGTAAATCCAGGTTTTTGACAAGCCCATTTCCACACCAGGGATCCATGTCTGCTGAGGGCCATTGGGTACAAGTTGGACTCAGTGTTTTCCCCCAAGGCTTGGATTTGATGATGTTCTTGTTTTAATTCTTAAATGTGTGAAAGATTGTGATAGTTTGAATTATGTGTGTCTTCCTCCCTGTCCCCACTGGATTTGAAAATCGTACCACCTGTTGCAGTTGTTCATGCAGTTTCACACTCAGGACAGAGCTTAGAATTCCCTCTTAATGAAAACAGGCTTGAGAATGAAGCTAAGACTGTGGGAAAGTTCCAATATTGGGAAGACAGTGGGGAGTTGAAGAGGGGAGGCGGTTTGTGTGTGTGGTGGGGGAGGAAAGCCAGGGGGTGGAATCCAGTTTAGCAGCTGCTGTTCTTTTCATTCAGGAGGCAAATTGCCCACCCACAATTTAAAAAAAATGGAACAACAGTGAGCCAATTAGGGAGCAGGAGCACAAAGCACAAGCTGACAGTTGCTGACACATCATCTCTCTATTTAATTGCTATCAGCTTCCCTCACTTCTTAGAACTAATACTTAGTAAGCTTCTCTATGGCTCTGCTGCAGCAGTTCCTAGAGGTGGAGGTTTCAAGAATCCGTGAAACCTCTTCCCAAGCCAGCACACACTAGCTGCAGGGATAAGCAGCTGTGCACGAAGACTGCTCGGCTGTGTCTAGACTGGCAAGTTTTTCCGCAAAAGCATCTGATTTTGCAGAAAAACTTGCCAGCTGTCTACACTGGCCGCCTGAATTTTCCGG